TAGTATCGTATCGAGTCTCTAAACTTGATTGGTACATTGTACTAAAAATTGCATACTATGGTAAAATTGTCGTATCGATATATTTAATTTAATTATATATTTTAAAAAATTATGAATTTATTAAAATATGTGAGGTTGACACTTTATATCTATTAAAAATATATCTAATGGCTATTTAAAATCATAAATCAATATTTTTTTTTCTAGAATTTGTTCAACAAAACCAAAATTTGTAATAATCAATTTGAAATTCTTTTAGTCAACATATTATATTATTTATTTCTTATCATCTTTTTGGTATTAATTAACATATTATACTTTTAGATATTTTTAGTTACATAATAAAATATTATAATTGATTAATTTTTCAAAATGTTCTTTTTGGTAATTTTATATGTTTATAAGCTAGTTTTTGTCAAACATGATTTGTTCATCAACTAACTTAGCAGCTACTAATTAGTTTATCAGTCATCAACTAAGTTATCAGTTATTAACTAGCTTATCAGTCATCAACTAGTTTGCCACACATAACCTAAACATGTTTTAAGATGGGTGTTAACGAAGGAAAGATTAAAAATATCTAAATAAAAGAAATAAAAATAACAAAAAGGTGTAAATGACATAAAGGCTTTTAAGTTCACCATTTTCTAACCAAATTTAGGGTTCGTTTAATAAATATTTATAGGGTAAGCGTTTATCAATATCACTTATCTATACTATCTTATGTTGAAAACTGAAAATCGTATCCGTAAAGAGGCATGACAAGGACTAATAATCTTATTCGGTAAGTGAGGGAAACGAATCTGACCTAATAAACGCTTGTCGGGTTTAAAATGCTTACAAACAATCCATTTTGATGGTTGATAATATTATATGATAAGGTAAGTAAGAATGATATTTTTTATCAGTTAATGTTTAGAGTATCTCCAACAGCTTCTCCAAAATAGAGAAAATGAGGATTTTGAGCAAATATTTTGCTCCAACGATTTCTTCAAAACCATCTCTAAAATAAAAAAAGTAGGAGAAAAAATGGTTTTTTCTCCAAATATGAAGATAACCCCAAAAATGATTAGCATGTAAGATCACCAATAGAAAACTTTGAAAATAAATATTCAAAACGATAAATAATATTTTAATAGATGAATGAAATATTTTAATATTATAATTAATATTGAATTCTTTAAAATTGGAAATCTGTTAGAGATAAAGATAATAGTTTCTTAGAGATTTTGATTTTTGATTCTTTATTTTTAAAGAATCTGGTAGAGATACTCTTACCTTAGGATTTTTTTTAGAATATCAAACTGATTCAGTTTCTTATATTATAAATGTATAACGGTATTTAATGTCAAATCAAATGAGTGATTTGAAAATAATAACCACAAGGACTAAATCTATAATTAATTTAAAGTAAAAACTAGATTTGATACTGAATGAGAAGTACATGGACCGAATATGTAAATTACTCAATTATATATATATATATATATATATATATATATATATATANAGAAAACTATAGAAAGGATTAAATATAGAGGCTGCTAGTAAAATAAACTAATAAATACGAAATATTATAGTATACATATATACATATATATATATATATATATATATATATCAACATCTCTTACCGAATTTCTCCGATCGGATGCTATGTACTCCGTACGTTTGTTTATTTTAAATATCAACATCCTTCGTGTCAAAGTTAATTAGGTGATATTTGTTTTTTACGAGGTGCTGAAGTCTAAAGTCTTATTTCACTTATGATTAATAAGAGATGGTGTTGAAATCTGAAATTTGAATCAATAAGACTGATAAATCTTTGAATTTGTTTAAATTGTCTACTTTACCCATTAGAAAATTATAGTTTTGAACTTATAGATAAATTTATATAATTTCACAAATTTATTCATCATCATTTCGAAATTTACATCTCAATTATATAATTAACATTCATTTAAACAAAAGTATGTCATTAACGGTATTTAACACATTTATATCCTATTAAAATTGATGAGAAAGGTGAGGCGATTTGATAAGGATCTAAACATATAGATATAGATATATTGAGTGAGTTTGTTTAGTTTAATCAACATCCCTCATGTAAAAGTTAATTAATGACTTCATTATCATACTTATCATTTCATTATTATAAAATCACGGATTTCATCATCGTTTTAATGTATATATAACATAGTTGATAGACGACCAATTGAAAAGTCTACAAATTACTAAAAATAGAGCGTAGAGCGCCACCACTAGATTTTAACGAACACGACACAAGAAGGAAACACACAAAGAAACTCGTTTCAATTAAATTTAAGTTCCAAAACAGAACTAAAATCAGAATATTCGCATTATATATATATATATATATATATATATATATATATATAGGGTTGGGTTCACGTGAGACCAATTTATGTTCATTGATCAACTTTATAAGCTAACGATCTAACGGTCTAAATTGCACAGTGGCAATTTTGTAATTATTGAGAAATCTCGTGGCGTTTATGAATGTTTAGATTATCATATTATAGATCTAATCCAAGGGTTAAAAATTGGTCTTACGGGTCTTACGAAAAACCATTGGTCTCACATGATCCTAAATCTATATATATATATATATATATATATATATATATATATAAAAGTTTATTCGCTATCAAAATTCCCATGTTAAATCTGATACTTTCAGATTCATATATGCTGGGTGCGCAAACCTAGGTGGTGCAGGTCGATGCCCGCAACCCCCTCCTATATATAATATTACAACCCCTTTGTGGTCTTATCCTTAATCCATCTTTTTTCCTCTTCTTTTGAGGACAGGTTTCGTGGAGAGGAGAACGAAGACGTAGCGTAGGTTAGTCGACCTGTGGCTTGATGGGTCGCCATGAAGAGGAAAGGTTGCTGTTGGAAGGCAGACTTACAGAGGTACTTGTATGATAGAATCAGTTATTTACTTTTTAGGTTTTAATCAGAATAATCAATTACTATTTGATTGCCATATTCAAAAGGATTAGGGTTTTACGATTTTGATGTAAACAATTACTTTAGCTGCTTTCTTTTCACGATTGGAGCTGCATTTTTTGGCAGAACATTTCTTGATTATTACGGCTAAAGGATGCTTTTCTTGTAAGCTAATTTATACGATTCTTTTGTTTTCCAAACTTTATACATGGAAAGGATGGGAACTTATCTTGACTCAACCTAGAGAAGAGTTATAGACTATGTTGGCTGTTGGCATTTATTACATATTTTCCATATTCTATCTGTTTCTAAGTTGTTTGGGGTAATGAAATCAAAACAACATTTTACTTTTCCACATTATGGACTAGATTTATGGTGGCAGTATCATTTCTGCAAGGATCATACAAGTAAACATGGTACTTCTACCACCATCCTTAAAACTCACCATCCATAAAACAGAAAGAAAGATTCATACCATCCACACAAAAAAAGATGGAATATATCTGTCAGACAGGCATGTAACCATGCCAGAACCCATCAGATGGGGTGGCAACGATCATCATGGTCGAGACCATGAATCTCTGTTAATCACGCTCTGGTTTACCCCACTGGTTTGGGATAGAAAGGCTTATTTATTGATAACCGTAGCTTGGGTGCACCTCGAGTAATCTATGGGTCCTGAAGTTAACATCCTAGCAAACACTTGAGTGGGTTAGAGGGGACTTGGACCGGGTACTTCTAAGAAGCAAACTGATTGCGTTGCTAGTTAAGTTACCCCAAAGGGTTGATAAAAAGACTTATTGTGTACAATTTGGAAGGAAGGCCTTTATTCGACTTCGGTAGCTTCGCAACACTACTTCTCTTATAAATTTGGTCAAGTTTTTTACTCATGAAGAAAGGTCACTAGGTAATGATTGAACTAATGATTAACAGATGCACAGGGAAATAAGGCGTAGCCATTAGTATTTGCTGTAGCAGTTTCTTTAGGCTTGTGGCATCAACACCACATACTTGCTAGCATCAAATATGCTTTTCTAAGCTGACTGGGGCTTAAATTTTATGTTTCTTTATGAGCATATCCTTCAAAGACTCGATGGTTATTCCCTCTGTTCCATTATGAACTCCCATGAATCTCCATTTGTGGTTCTTATTTTATAGCTACTTTTCCTGGTTGTATGATTTAATGTCTATTATAGCACTAATACGGCTGTAAATGAACGAGAACACGATCAAGTAAGCGTTGTAGTTGTGTTGGAAATAATTGCAACAATAAGCTAGAAGGGGAAACACCTTAGTTGTGTTGGAAACCACCCTAATGATTTCAACTTTTAATATACACGTTTCTACTAAGTGGTCTTTGATCCAATGTTATAAGTGGACTTTTACAACCCTTAGGTTGTATTTTCAAATCTTTTGAAGACATCACTTATCCGATTGTTGCCTGTTCAAAAAAGAAGAATTTTTTTAATGGTGTTCATGGTCTCAAATAAGCCAACCAGGATGTATATACATTGTTCAGTGGAGCGTTTATAATATTTCAAATGCCCAAATAATGTAGTTTAGGGCTGGTTCTGTAGTGTCACGTCAATGACTTCCACTACCTTATTTAAAAGGATAAATTTGCATACTCCCTCTTATTTCTTCATGTCTTTGTGTGCGTTGCTTAGAGTTCATGAACTTGTTCCTGCCTTTCTGTTAGTCATCAAGTAAATCTTCACTTGACCTCTATATTTCTGTGTGTAGCCGGAGGGCAGCCTCTATACAGGAGATGGTTCAGTCGATGTCAAGGGAAACCCTGTTTTAAAAAGCAATACTGGAACTTGGAGAGCATGCCCCTTTATTCTTGGTATATTATCAATTTATCGTAATCCTTGTGCTTCTTGAACTATCTCAGTTTCATGCATTATTGACTGTTTTGACTTGAGACAGGCAACGAGTGTTGTGAACGCCTAGCCTATTATGGAATAGCTACTAATCTTGTCAGTTACCTCACAAAAAAGTTGCATCAAGGAAATGCTTCAGCTGCCAGAAATGTTACTACGTGGCAAGGCACTTGCTACCTCACTCCCCTTATTGGTGCTGTCTTGGCAGATGCATATTGGGGAAGATATTGGACTATTGCGATCTTCTCCACTATATACTTCATTGTAATGATCATCGTATTAAACATTGCACATTTTATTTCCCTGTATAACTTTTCACATTTTCGTTCCTGTATAACATGTCACATTAGAAACAGCCTCTCTACCCTTTGGGGTAAAGAAAAAGTCTATGCACATCCTAAGCTTAGGCCCTACCTCTGTGTGGAATTTACTATGTTCGGTTTGGTATTCCATTCGTAACATTTGTATTCTCTTTCACAAGCCCGCTCTAACCCTTTGGGGCGGAGAAGATGTCTGCATACTTTGAGTGAGATATAATGGGTTGGGTTTGGTTTGGTTAGGTTACTGGAGCATATTATTTTCCTTATACTTACAGATGCTTTCATTTTGTTTTCTCCTCCACAGGGAATGTGTACATTGACTCTTTCAGCATCAGTCCCTTCTTTGGAGCCTGTTGAATGTGTTGGTGCTATGTGCCCTCCAGCCACCCCTAGTCAGTATGCCTTTTTCTTCATCGGGCTTTATCTGATCGCACTTGGAACTGGAGGCATCAAACCATGTGTTTCATCTTTTGGGGCTGATCAGTTTGATGACACAGATCCAAAGGAGAGGGTGACCAAGGGATCCTTCTTCAATTGGTTTTATTTCTCTATCAATATTGGTGCATTAGTTTCAAGTTCATTAATAGTATGGATTCAAGATAATAGGGGCTGGGGACTAGGGTTTGGCATTCCTGCGCTATTCATGGGTGTTGCTATCATTAGTTTCTTTCTTGGAACTCCCCTTTATAGATTCCAGAAACCAGGTGGAAGCCCTATTACAAGAATGTGCCAGGTTGTGGTTGCATCGTTTCGTAAGTGGAGTCTGCCCGTTCCTATTGATAGCTCGCTCCTTTATGAAACTCCTGACAAGGAGTCGGCAATCAAGGGAAGCCGGAAACTCGTTCATACGGAGGAATTGAAGTAATTTTCTTGATTTCAGCACTTAACTTGTTATTTTGTTTTGTTTTATGTTTCCAAATGGACAAATTACATGTAAATACTTGGTCCGATTTAGCGCACTTTCAGAATCTTCATTATGTACCTCAAATGCGACATCTCAAACATTTAGGTACTGGGTTTACTCTGAGATTGCATGAAAATGCTACATAGCTGGATACCAAAACCTTCATTTTGGTAAGTTAAATATGCAATCTCAACCATTTAGGTACCTGTTTACATATGAGATTGCATGAAAATGCGATGTAGTTTGCTCCAGTTTGTATTTTGAGTAACGTACGCTGGTCTAAGTGATTGTAATATCACATCTGAGGTATCAAAATGAAGGTTTTGAGAGTACGTTGCATTTAATAGGAATCAAATTAAAGTACGTTGCACTTTCATGCAATTTTTCCTTTCAAATTGATTGCCTGTATTTTAACTTCAGTTTCATTACTTCCATCGAAAGTTATTTTCCATGATCTCGAATATTATCTATGTTTGCACTTCACATTCTGTGCTCATAAGTTGCTTTAATAACATGAACTGAAGTCCTAAAGAGATGCACAAAAGTACCCATCTCTTTAGCACCAGGTTCTGTTCTTGGAGTAACTGGTCCCTCGGTCTTCTGGACCTAATCAGTCGTTGCCCCAGTGGTGCAGCTAGTAGGGACTGGTCAGATGGTTAATCCTTTTTCTCGTAACAAAACATAGGCCTAACGGCTAAGTGTTCCTAAATGGCCCTCAGTCAGCAGCTTAAAAAGTGGGAAGGCCCGTAACCGGTCCTTGGCTGGGGCTAACGGGCCCATTTCGCGTGATTTTATTTGATTTTTATACGTTTCCCTTGCTCTTTTTCTTGTCGTAGGTGTCTCGATAAAGCTGCTGTACTCTCACCTATTGAAAACAGCACCGGGAACTACAACAATCCTTGGAGACTATGCACCGTGACACAGGTAGAAGAACTGAAAATCTTGATACGAATGTTCCCGATCTGGGCAACTGGGATTGTTTTCTCGGCCGTTTACGCCCAGATGTCGACCATGTTTGTAGAACAAGGGATGATGATGGACACGAGAATCGGTTCATTCATCGTTCCCGCCGCATCTCTTTCTGCTTTTGACGTCATAAGTGTCATCTTCTGGGTACCTGTTTACGACCGAATCCTTGTCCCCATAGCACGGAAATTCACAAATCAAGGGCGAGGATTTACTGAACTGCAACGAATGGGCATCGGTCTCTTCCTCTCCGTCCTTTGCATGTCCACTGCAGCTTTGGTCGAAACAAAACGTCTCGATATCGCAACATCACTCGGTTTAATCGACCAAAATACTCCAGTTCCGATCAGTATCCTTTGGCAAATACCACAGTACTTCTTATTAGGTGCTGCTGAAGTGTTTACGTTTATCGGGCAACTCGAGTTCTTTTATGACCAGTCACCTGACGCTATGCGTAGCTTGTGTAGTGCGCTTTCTTTACTGACAACGTCCTTAGGGAATTACTTGAGTTCATTCATTTTGACTCTGGTGACATCGATTACTACTCGGGGTGGGCAGCTTGGATGGATACCAGATAACTTGAATCAGGGCCACCTTGATCGGTATTTCTGGGTTTTGGCTGGGCTAAGCTTCGTGAACATGGTGGTTTACATATTCTGTGCTAAGTTATACAAGTCGAAAGCGGCTACATAGCTTTTATTGTTTGGTCGTCTAGATTTAGGTAAGAAATACAAGAGTAGCAGTTCACCATTGTGTAAAACAATGATGATTCTGTATCGATATCATAGTCATAAAACAGAAGATAGCTTTGCAAACTTTCCAACAATCATTGCTTAAATGTTTACATTGTTCCTATATCTGAATGATTGATTATTCCCAAAGATTGTCTCTAAATCTCTCATGCAGGCTGATTCATATTAATTTTTCTGTCATGGATTTGTCCTACTTTCACTCCTACTTTCACGGTCTTTCCGTGTCGTACTTTTAAAGAACCAACTTTGCTCCAGAGTTTGTTGGTTTGACGTCAGAGCTAAAAGGAATGTTGGTTTGAGTGGAGTCGTCTCTCTTTTTTCTAAGAGGGGAGGTACTGGTAGTGCAGGATGAGAGTATGACAAGATATTCGACAATAAAACTCTTTAAGCAATGATATTTTCTATGTCATTTTCCTTGACGCAATACGAAAGAGACTTAAAAGTCTTTTCTGCCGGACGACTTGTAATGGCGGAAAAGGGCCTTTACTCCGTCCCACACAATGTATTACTATTGGCCCTACAAGTTCTGCACACCAACAAATAATTAGGTGGGGGGACAACACGAAAAGAGGTCATGCGCCAAGATAGCCCAACGGGTACCCAATCAAAAAGAATGGACTATAGATCACTAACTTTAACTAAGCAACCACATGAGCGAGCTTAGGATCCCTTGAGCAACAAGTTGATTTGGAACATTCAGAAAAGATAATTGGACACAACTTGTCTATCTTCACAAATAATGAACACTTGTAAGAACCAAGGATTATACCTATGTAAATAGCTAAACCATAGTCTAGACCGAGGGAACAAGAAAGCTAATAAAAGATCAAAGTATTGAACCTGCTTGCTGAACAGTCGGTGATGGACAATTGCAAGGAGGCACTACATTATTGACCCCCGCTTTATGACGATCTTAAGTTTAAGAGTTGGCTTATTGAGTAAGTTCGGTTACATGCATCCTTACAGAAACCCACATTTCCACACGCCATGCCAAGAAATGGAAGAAATTTGGTTACTCACAAGACCCCACCTGTATACCTTATTATTACTTGAGTACCAATTCAATGGGAACTTCATCAACATCATGCCTTGTTGCATTGCTTTCATGGCAACAATTTCGGTTACAGATTTCAATTTCTCATACTTGGACATATCCTCAATTTGGTTGGAGAACTCTGAGTCACATAAATGCTTAGAGTTGCAAGTTACCTCTCTTCATCTATTATCTTCGAAACTTACTTCTCCACTGCATTGTACGGGTACACAACTAGTGTGTATATATATATATATATATATATATATATTCTGATTTGAAAACCTGTCTTTTTACAAGAATGACTCAATATCTGTTAGAATTGTCTATCTTAGAATAAAATGTCGTGGAGAAAGCATTGATTTCTGAGCTAGGTAGAGGAAGCTGATCTATACTAGAGGCTAGAGGCTAGAGGGTTCCTTTTCACTCGATTTCTATACTATAAAAGCACCAAGGAATAGGGCATGTACACATCTTCAATGATGTTTTGTAGATGGAAAACTAGCAACAATTTGCTTCTCGTATCGACAAATAAGAATAAAAATAAGAACAAATAGCTCTTTACCAAACATTTATCTAGATAAACTCTTATTTATTTTACAAGTTGAATATTTAGTAAAGACTAAAAATCTTACCTGGTAAGAGCGAAGCAAGGACCGTAACGATTTTTACTATGATTAGTGCTTATCAAGTAAATTGTTGTATACGATGTTTTTATTGACTAAAATCTTACCGAATAAGTAAATGATTAAATGCAAGTAAAGTTATTAATTTTTAGTACATCCAAACCTTAATTTGGTTTGGCTGGGTAACATCTTTGAATCAAATTTTCTTGAATTTATAAATAATTAATATTTGAGCCATGGTCTTTTATAACTTAATAATAAATGTAAAAAGAGGACGTATAAGCAAGTTGGATTCAAATTGAATTACTACTATATATGAAACAATTTTTTTACTGACGTCATCCAAATGCTGCTGTATCAAATTGAATTACTATATATGAAACTATTTTTGTTACTGACGTCATCGTAATGCTGCTGTATCAAGTAGTGAAGAATTTTGCAACTAAAATGGCCTCTCCCCTCCCCTCCCCCCCTCCTTTCAAAGAAGAAAATAATGGATCAAGATACGTACATTACGTATCTGACGTTGTTGTGGGCCCAAGATTTATGGTCTCCGTCTGATCTGGCCAAAATCCCATGGTTGTACGATGGACACGTGGAAAAGGAGCTGCGATTCCATGGACGACGATGCCTTCGTTAAACACTATATTGGTGCCCGTAACCTTGATGTTATTGATCCTCATCGGCGACAATAGACCTTCTCCTCCTGCCACCGTCACCACTAACGTCTCACCGGGCTCCATCGTTGGCAATACTGAACCTGAAGGCAGATTCATCAATCCTAAGGCCATCAATCTCAAGTTAGGAACAATGTGGAACCTCAGATTAGAGACGTATGTGTGTCCGTCGCCAAACACACCGGCGTCATCGACGGAGAATATCGTCATGCTGTTCAATTGCAAGAGTTGATCGAGGTTTTCTTGAATCAGGAGTGCGAGGACGGTGTAATCGCTCATCCGAAGGCGGATCATGGCGTCTTTAAGCAACGTACGCATGACGGTGGAGGGAGGGGAGGAGGCCGGCTGCGACGGGAACGAGAGAGAAGTCATCCGTTCTATCTGACATGAAAAGGGGGAGAGATGTGCGAGGAAGCCTTGGATCCCGTGGATGATGATGGTGCCGTCGTTGAAGAGATCAGGTCGCGTGATCTCGACTCCTCCGACGAAGAGCGTGGGATCTATGGTGGAGTTCTCCGGTGTGGATTTGGTGAGGGTGAGGCAGAGGGCGGTGGTAGGTGTGGAGGCTAGGGTTTCAATTTTGGTGCCTAAGGCTAAGTTGCTTAGGAGACGGAAAGGGTATAGGCCAGGGATGGAGTGTTCGAGGAGGAGAAGAGGGAGGGAGCAGTAAGGGCAGGAGCGGAGGGAGACGTCGGTGGGGGTGAAGATGGTGGTTAGGTTGGCGGTGTTAATGGCGGAGGAGGTGGCAGCGACGGAGAGATCGTGGAAACCGAGGGTGTAAAGGAGAGTGGACAAGTTGTATGGTGGTGGTGCTTGATCTTGTTCTTCCGGCATAGATGGAGGGAGGTAGGCGGCGGCAGTGGTGGTGGGGCGGTTGATGATCGAAAGAAGAAGTAAGAGGATTTGGAGAAGAGTAGCCATTGATGATTGTTGGAGTTGTTACACATACAGTTCATGAAAACAAGGTGGGAGGATGGCTTTTGAATTTATACTGCGAGAGATGGAGCAGTCGCTAACTTACGGTTTGGTTTGAAGGAATGAAAGAGAGGGATTTTAAATCTATTCAAATCTCATAGGATTGTAAAAAAAAAGTTTAAAAAAATAATAATCGAGTAAATAAAAATGTAATTTAATTACTTGTATAAATAATAAAATCCAATTTCATTTCAAATCCTATAAATCAAACACACATCAGTAAGTTCAAATCCATTCCCTTTAAATCCACATTCCTCAAAAACAATCCTACAAACACTACAAAAATGAAGAGTATCAGTGAGGAATTTTATCCGTTGCTGATCCATCATTGATCGTCTGTCGGTCAAAAACTCGTAGGTAATGCTATCAACAACGGATCAGCGAGGGAAACTTTTAGCACAGATCAACGACGTAAACTTTAAACGACGGATCAGCGAGAGAAACTTTCAAAAATGGAATATCGTGGAAAACTTTCAGCTAAAGATCAGCGAGAAAAAGTTTCGGTGATAGATCAACAAGGGAAACTTTCACACTACCAAATAGGTCCACATTTCTGGCGGCTTTATCCGCCGGAAATCTGTTGAAAAAAGCATTTCCGGCGGATAGAGCTGCCAGAAAAATAGGCGCCGATGATTAATATTCCAACGGATTTTTTTTTCCGGTTGATTACGGGCCGTCGAAAATTTTACCCCGATTTATTTAAAAATCTTGATTAAATTAAAAAAATATTTAAGTTTTTTCTTAAAAAATTGAATTAAAATACCGGCGGATATTTTTGCCGGAAATCTACCGGTAAATTTATTCGCCGAAATATTGATTTTATTTTTAAAATAATTATTTATTCTTTAAATATTTCCGGTGGATATATCGTTTAGAAATGTATTTTTATTTTTTAAATAGAATAATTATATCCGGCGGATATACCTGCCGATAATTCGGCGGAATTTTATAAAATTACTAATTTTAAAATATTTTTCCAGTAAATATTTAGAACATGTATTTAAAACATGTAAATATTAAAAAAAGCTAAAAAGATAAAATGCAGCTAAACATCATACATTAAACTAAACATCAGTTATCTCGACCAATTTAAAGTAGCACACATTGTTTGGTGTTCCAAACAAAATCTAAATTGTTTAAAACAAATAGACAATATTCAATTCGGTGGCAGTGGAAAATGTTGAGATTGACTGAGCTATTTGACTAAAACAATCATATCTTCAAGTTTATCTTGTCACTCCTTCTTCCGTTGTCGCTCCTCCTCCACCCACCGCTGCTCCCCCTCCTCCGTCCGTTGGCGTTGATTTTCTTCCTGTAAATATCTAAGTTCGGTTCTTAAGGCTTCAATTTCCTATACAATTAAAAAACGTTATAATATTTAATATGAATTATAAATTAAATCGATAAACATCATTAAAGGAAAATAAGCACATACCCGACTCTCTGAAGACGATGAACCACCTTGTGTGTAGTTCCAAGTCAATACCCAATTGGGATCCTGGTTGTACCCAAACCCAAATAGACGGCTTTTCTTGCTTCCCTCAATCGCCTGCTCCCACAACTCTATATCCATTAAACCCCAATACGATCCATTAAAGCCCAATACGATCCATTTAAAGCCCAATAAGATTCATTAAAGTCAATAAAACCGTTAAAGCTCAATACTACCAATTAAAGCCCAATACAATCCATTAAAGCTTAATAGAATCGTTAAAACCCAACTAACATCCACTAAAGCCTAATAGAACAGTTAAAGCCAACTAACATCCATTAAAACCCAATTAACATCCATTAAAGCCTAATATAGTTTGTTGATCCTCTCTCGCATTGATTTGATGATAATCCCTTTTACCTTTCGATGTATTATTGTTTCTGTCTTTTCAGTTTCAACGATCATCACTAATCTGTTTAGTGATCGCTGAAACACACATTGTAATCCTACAGCGACAACGATACTTCAAGAAGATAAAACTCACACCAAAGAACCTTTAGTGAATGTCGAAGACTGAAACTGAAGCTTAGTGACTGGCGCGTTCGTGATCTGAAGCGGTATTCAGTGATTACAACCTGGTCAACATATGTGTGAAGACTGCACAAGCCTCAGTGAATGCTGAAGAGACCTCCAACGTTATTCCAGCATTCAACGATCAAATGAAGCTTGCCATGCACGATTCCTTTTGTCTTGTCCTTCCATACACAAAGGACAAACACATACCCTTTGAAGAGTATAGTACTGCACGGAGCCGACTGGTCGACTCTATTGCCCACCAACTCCACGAAAGGATGTTTGCTCATGAATAGACAAATGTACTATTCACAGTTGCAAAGGACAAGATTTCCTTTTAAAGCTTGATGCGTGTTCCAAACCTTCTGATTTGCATTTAATTCAATGCGTATAAATAGGTAAGTGTTTTCTTCATGAGAAAACACATATTTATCAAAAGAACACATACGCTTATCTTCAAGCAAGTTAGAATCTCTCTCAAAGAATTCTAAAGTTCTTACACAAGAAGAACATCTTTCTGTCTTTATCTTTTCGGGAAATATTTTATTGCTAAGTATATTTGTGTGTAATCATAGATTGTTTTAGATAGGTTATCTTTACCTTTTCTATTTCCGCAAACAATCTGCAAAAAATCTGTATTGATCCTTCTTTATCAATATATATTTTTAAATACGAAAGTTTATAGTGTTTGTATTCATCCCCCCCTCCTACAAACTGTTTCTCTAAAACTCTTGTAGACCCAGCTGGGACCAACAAGTGGTATCAGAGCAGTGTTTTCTTCTCGTCTTGTTTAGTTGTTTATCTGAATTTTATTAACTCTTCTTTCTCTAGATAATTTATTGCTTTTCAAATGGCTTTACAAAACACAAGCACAAACTTTCACGATAATGGCTCCCTTGCCAAACCTCCCCGATTTATAAGAGACAACTTTAGTCTCTGAAAAAATCGGATGTCTCTTTTCTTGGAAGGTGTGGATCCTGAGATCCCACATTATATAGAGAATGGACCTTATGTTTCATATGCTATATCTCCGGTTGTTCCTAAAATAGCTACGACTACTGCATTTCCAGAACGACATATTTATAAGCTCCCTCATCAGTGGAGTGATGAAGACAAAAAGAAGGTGGCTATAGATACTCGAGCGAGATCTATAATAGCCATGTCTCTTCCTGACGAGGTCTATCACTTTGTGATGAAGCTTAGGACCTTGAAATCCATGTGAGACACTCTTCTTGTTCAATATAAAGGTACTTCCCAAGAACAAGAATCAAGGAAGATTAATCTAGTAAGACAATATGAAAGTTTTCTCTGTGGAAAGAATGAAACGTTGTCTGATGTACATCAAAGATTTAATTGTCTTCTTATTGATTTGAGGACGGTTGGCAGAGAATATTCCAACTCTGAAACTTTGACAAAGTTTCTGGAATGTTTACCAGAATCCTAGGATACATATTCCATGTGTCTCAAGATGTCCAACGATATGTCCTCCCTCTCTCTAAGTTCTCTTTATGGGATACTGCTCAATCACGAGCAGTCTCGACAACTGAAGATGAATCTCATTAAAGATTCCAGAGATATGAAAAGCTCTCTGTTAGCTTTGATCTCTGAAGATTCTTCAGTTGAACTCCCATCTTCTTCTTCTTCTATTCCTCTTTCTTCTTCTGTTTCTTTAACGGAGTTAGATCCCACTAACTCTAAGGATTTTTAAGAGTCTGATCTTGCAGACTTTGATGAGTCACTAGCTCTTCTAACTAAGTCTTTTAGAAGATTCGCAAGAAAAAGTAACTTCCACAGATCTCCCTCGCTGACCATTAAGGATAAGCCAAAGTCAGATTCTATTGACAAGGCTTTAGCGATCTGCTACAACTGTCAATGCAAAGGTCACTTTGCGAGTGAATGCAGGTCAAAGACGACTGTGATGCCATCTTCAAAAACCCCATCTTCCTTTAGAGCCAAAGATGATAAATATATGAAGCTGAAGAAGAAGTACAAGATGATGAAGAGTTCTCAGCGAAAGGGCAAAGGTCTTGTCGCTAAAGAACATGATTGGGCTGATTCGTCTGACTAATCATCCTCAGATGAGGAAGATACGGCCTACCTCTGCTTAATGGCTAAGGATGTCAAGGAAGAAACTTTTGAGACATCAACCTCCAGTGATCCCTTATCATCCTCTCTTTCTCAGGTATGTTTTTTTGAATGAACCCTCTTTTTCTTTTTCTTCTATCATGTCAACGTTAGATACGTTGACGGTTGACCTTTACAATGCCCTGAATGACAAATCAAAAGCAGAAATGCTTAATCTTGATCTTCAAGAATAGTTGAAGATTTGTCATTCTAAGATCAAAGAGTTGACTAAGATCGAAGAAGATCTTAAACATTAGGTCATTGTAAATCAGACCATCACTATTGAGGCGCGAATAGGCTATAGCTGAGCGTGTGCAATATATTGCTGAACTTAAGGCTAAAAGGCTACCATTGAAGGATGGTGCAAAGCCTCTGTCAAAGCCTCTAAGATCATCAATGCTCAGATGCCCGCCAAGATTAAGACTGGTCTAGGCTTTTCCTATGATCAGGAAGATAGTGTCACTGATAGATCCATGCTTAAGTTTGGTACCTTCGTCTTTTTTATTCCTGACACTTTTTCCTCTCAGTCTTCTTTCACTGAGAGTCATCTTGAAGGAACTCCTTTGAGTTCAGGTCGCAAAGACAAAGGTAAGTCCATTGTCATAGCACCTCTTCCCAAGATGGCTAAGAAGTCACATAGATCAAAATCTATTCCTTCAGCTTGTGCACCTTCTTCTTTCTCAGGGATCAAGATATCTGAATCTTCTCAGAAATCTAAGTCTAAGCTCAAGGTGAATGTTTCACCTAAGGACTCCAAATCCTCAGTTGTTCCTCTTAGAACAAATGAGAAGGGAATCCTTGGAGCTTGTCCCTCTTC